TCTGTTTGTTTGCACTGTTTACTTAACTGTGTGTATAATGACATGGTAGTATAAAAGGACTAAGCTTGTATAGTAGCGATTCGATATTGGAGGCCACCCTCATTCACTTTTTTCAAGTTTTCTTGTTTCAAGTTTTCCATTTATTTCGATTTTTTTTTTTACGATGAAATCGATTAATGGAATTTTGGCAGTAACCAAGCGGCTGTGTTCGAGCCGCACTGTTCATACCGATTGATCGAAGTATAACTCGATGAACGGACATCACTAGTGATAATATATCCTGCTCACTTGCAGTTGAAGCTTTTTAATCAAATGGCCAGGCAGACCTTGAGCTTGAGGAGGACGTAGCATAGTTCTGTTCTAGCAGATGTGTAGGTACGTTTTGCACTGAAGGCATACATTAAGAATTTCACAGCACTACAAGATGATCACACTGTTGAAATATTTTGTAGGATAAAAGAGCTGGCCGACTATAACTCGCCAAGATCAGGCGCCATTCCAGGTCGGACATGCTAACGTTCCTCTGTGTGACCTGCAAATAATGGGTGCCTCGCTTAAGAGGCCAACAACCGGTTGCTAAGCAGAAGGGTTGTCGCAAGGCATTACGAGGATGTCGTTATGTATCTCCTGCAGTGAGGTTGGACATATGTTCAGGTTCAATGGGAAGGTGGGCGGTCTACTCGTTACGACGCCCGGGGGGCGATTGTATATGGTCGATAGTGGCGGGGAGAGGCCAACGTGTGCTTATTATCTTATTAGACCGATTTCTAAATATTGATATTGTGTGCAATGTTATTGTCGATTTTTACCCAATGTTCCTACTGTGTCCCATTATTACTATAGTAGTATGAATTAGTAGCACGATTTTACCCAGCGCAGCGGGTACCCGCAGCTAGTATATATATATATATCATCGTATATCTGAATATTATCCGGGCTGTTGTGTCTTATGTATGTCTCAGGGAAGGCACGGATGGAAAGGTGACTGCGATAAAGTTCAAACATGAAACGTGGTCACCAAGTTACCCCACCCACGCATGGCACTAGGTTACTCCACCCACGCATGTCATGGACTACTAACGCAGCTAATAGGTCATTATCAGTTGAATCCGGGGACGCGCTATAAGGCCAATTCATTTCCAGCCCTGCTGAGTGTAATACCCGCCAGAAAATCACCGATCGCATGTTGTAGTGTTGAAAATATGTAATCTCAACTTTCGGCCTGGATACTTTTGGTAATCATGAGTGATGAGTGAGTATTATGCGTGAATCATGATTGATTATCAATATATGATCTATACAATTCAGGGTTATATCAAGAGCAAGATGACCAAGAGCAAGATCAAGAGAGATAGGCTATTTATATACCATGCAACAAAGTTCTGGTTTAATTAGAAGTGAAATCAGAAGCATGCTGTCGTTAATTCAGGATTTCTCGTCACCTGTTTTTAGAAGAGCATGGGCACTGACAGGTCATCGTCAGTCATCAACCTAGCCTACTTTGACAGGTGCGAGGAGGCATCGAAACAGGATGCGAAGAAAGTACAGAATGCATTCGTCATCTACAATTCTGACTCCGGAACCTGTAAGGTAATTCACCAACATCCTGGTAAAATCCGATCTGCGACTGATCGTAGGGCTTATAATATATAGTATGATGGATACACGAAATACACATATATCTATAGAAAATTTCGTAACGATTCGCGTATATGTCAAGCGATCCAAACTGATTTGTAGTGGAAGTACTGAACAGTGACAGGAGATATGACTGAATAATTATTTTAAGGACGCGCGATCACACGCACGCACGCACACACACACGCACGATCACACGTGTTCGAGCCACTGTTCAACCGATGATCGAGTATAATCGATGATCGTGACATCACTAGTGAAATATATCCTGCTCATTGCAGTTTGAAGCTTTTTAATCAAATGCAGCAGACCTTGAGCTTGAGGGAGGACGGTAGCTAAGTTCTGTGTCTAGCAGATGTGTATGAGTACGTTTTGCATGAAGGCATACATTTAAGAATTTCACAGCACTACAATGCATCATCACTGTGAAATATTTTGTAGATAAAGAGCTGGCCGACTATAATGCCAAGATCAAGCGCCTTCCAGGTCAGAGCATGCTAACGTTCCTCTGTGGCCTGCAAAAGGATGTGCTTAAGAAGGCCAACCCGGAATTGCTAAGAAGGTTTGCGAAGGCATACGAGGATGCTCGTTATGATCCTGCAGTGAGTTGGTAACATATTCACGTTCTACTCAATTTTAAATCAATGTTATTATCACACAGTACATATAAACAAATGCCTAAGTAATTTGCTGTGAATGAAGAATAGGTATTAATCGTTTAAAGCCAATATGTAAACTATGATGCAGTGAGTTTTGTCATGTTTTGCTGCATGTGTAACATTGTACTGTATGGTCTAAAATTGATATACGGTGTGCAGATTTAGCCTATAAGTGTACATAAGTGTGGTTGCTGACTTGTATTTCTCTTGCAGGAATTTGGTACTAAAGAATACAGGGAGTATTCTGATTTGCTGAAAGAAATTCTTATATGGTATGTATATTTTGCACATTTTATTTTCCAGTAACATGCAACAGCTTTAAAAGTGAATTTCAAACCATATTTTCTTCAATCATTGTGCCATTATTATTCTTGTATGGTATTTATCCATGCCCTGCCATAACTAATTTCACAATCGAAATTAAAAATGGATTAAAGCTTGCAAAGAAAATCAAAGAAAACTTCACTCGAATTTAAAAGGAATTTGAGCCCTCGATCCAGCTCGCCTTTGTCCCACAGTCTACTCGCTCACTCTGCAGCGTGAAGAGCATTCGCTACAAGCCAAAGTCGAGTGTCAGTGAAGACGACAGCCTGCTGTCTCCGAAGCAGCCTCCGCGGAGCAGTCCTGCTGGTCAGTCGTATGCCTCGCTCGCGCAGCGCAGCGTGCCTGGTGCCTCCGCCCGCACGGCCAGCGCCGCCTCAGGCAAGACGCCCAACTACGAGATACTCGGCCGGAGGAGCGTGCTCACTGGCGCTTCATCCACAGCATCCGGCAAGAGCACGGGAAGCCAGCCGCTGCTGCTGATGGACAGGGATGATGACGACGATGATAGTGATCGTGATGATGAAGTGCTGGCTATGAGAGAGGAAATGAGAAGTGAAACAGCTGTTTAACTTATGACTGCTGTTTGTTTGAGACTGGATAATTTCTGAAATTGGCGTTTACCCGAGACTGCTGTCGAATTGATACTGCTGCCCAATGAGTCTGTTGTCTAATTAATCCGTGTGTGGAAGGCGAGGAAAAATATATTCGTTTCCAGTGTTTGGCCAAAACAGCAGTAACCGGATAGATGTGAGCATGATGAAAATATATGAAACTACAAACTTGTGCTTTGTAAATACGTTAGTATTTGATATAGTACTCAGTATAATAACTTAATAGGCAGTTGACGTAATCAGATTGACTTTTCAGTGCTATTAACCAATAACCATAACCTAAGTTCATATCCTCACTGCATTGTAAACGAGGTTACTCTAAATGCGAATGAAATCAGTGTGCAGATTTTTCAAGTGTCAATGTTTCTAGTATCTAGTCATTTATAGCGTAGTCTGTACATATTCGATTATTATTGACACACGTAGAGTTGTAATGTATATATCACTTTTGTGTGCACTTAGCGAGTATTCTTGCCTTGTGGCATATGTGCAATTGTCTAGACTCTAACCTCTAATTGGGGGAATAGTCAACTTGTGCAAAATGATGCATGCAGAAATATTAGTTACACTTGGGGGGCTTGCTGATGACCAATACAGATTGTGAAGATGACCTATAGACCGTTTTACTACTTCGACGTGTGCTGAACATGAAATGTTTTCTCAAGTTGTTGAGTGAGTATGCATGCCAAGCAAAAGCTGACTGAGTCCAGGCGAAGAAGGCTATATATAGTGGAACTACTTGATGGGGGGGATAACTTCCATCCTATTCATTGTTATTACAAGCAGGTATGAATTAAATATAATTCAATTTCTTCTCGCATCTTTTATTAATAAACTTCTACCAACACATAATTCCGTGTATGGCTGTGTGTTTTTTCCCAATGAGTCACGGGTACTAGACATTAATAAGTATCCATCTAATAAGAGAATGACTATCTTCTATGGACACTGTTTTGTACGGTTTCAGGATCTGTTTCAGGTTTCATAAGCCATGTTACATAGAAACACGTTGCGTCAGTAAGCAGTGATGTCGTGAGGTATTGTGCCCTCAGTAAGCAGTCATGTCTTTAAGTATTGTCACCTCAGTAAGGCTGTAAGCAGTCATGTCTTTAAGTATTGTCCCCTCAATAAGCAGTTATGTCGTGAGGTATTGTCCCCTCAGTAAGCAGTCATGTCGTGAGGTATAGTCCCCTCAGTAAGCAGTCATGTCGTGAGGTATTGTCCCCTCAGTAAGCAGTCATGTCGTGAGGTATTGTCCCCTCAGTAAGCAGTGCAGACGTCTTTAGACATTTGTCCCCTCAGTAAAGCACGTCAATGTCTTTTAGATATTGTCACCCCAGTAAGCAGTCATGTCTTTAGATATTGTCCCCTCAGTAAGCAGTCATGTCTTTAGATATTGTCACCTCAGTAAGCAGTCATGTCTTTAGATATTGTCCCCGCTTCATTAAGCAAGTCACTGTCCTTGGTAGATATTTGTCGCCCCTCAGTAAGCAGAATCCATGTCTTTAGACCGTATTGGTCACCGTCAGTAAGCAGTCACGTCTTTAGATATTGTCCCCTCAGTAAGCAGTGATGTCGGGTTATCGTTTGCTCACGTCCATGTCAGTTACTACGCTCGCGACGGGCTACTGTACAGCATGCGATCATTTCCTCTGACACAGCGAGGGAACAGGATGTGACAGTACCAGCTCAGTGCGAAGACACAGTCGCTCTCTCGTTTCCCTTCCAGATGTTTGCCCGTCCGAGTCAGGGTGTGTGAGCGGTTGCGCACGCGTAAGCACTGCGAGTGCTGTGTATAGGGGGAGAGACACTACAGATTGACGGGGAGAGAGCGAGAGTCAGGCAAGGAGAGCAAGAGAAAGAGAGAGAAGACGAGGAGAGAGAGAGAAGAGAGCCGAGGAAGAGAAGAGAAGAGAAAGAGAAAAAGGAGAGAGCGAGGAGAAAGCAGGAGATGGGAGAATAGAGAACAGAGAGAGAAGCAGAGGAGAGAGAAGAAAGAGAATAGTGAGGTGAGAGCGAGGGAGAGAGAGAAGACAAGAGAGAGAGAGAGCAGCGCTGTGCGAAAAGAGAGAGAGCGCGCCCGGAGAAATATCGAGAGAGCGTTCGCAGGCGAGAGAGAAGAGATGATGCCCGTGAAGAGAGAGAGAGAGAGAGAGAGAGTGCGCAGCGGTGAAGAGAGAGAGAGAGAGAGAAACAGAGTGAGAGAGCTACGCTGCTGATTAGTCTCAACGCTGCGGACCGGCTACGGCTACGTCAACTCCAAACGCGCGCAAAAAAAACGCGCCGCAGCGGAAAATGCACCGCGCGAGCGAGACTTCAAGCACCACGCTGAGTCACGCAGCCAACGCGACCATCACTTGCCGGCATACACTCGCGTTCACTGACCTAAAAAAAACAGACAGACAAACATCGAGGACTGAGAGCTGGTAACAAAAGCAGCGACGGCGCGCCAGCTGTGCAAGGCAGCCGTTCGCCGCTAGCGGAGCGTCGAGCGGGATGTATTCGTCGTCGCACTGTAATCGTCTGTTTCGCAGACGGCCGTGCGTGTTAGCGTCTATCATGACTAATGAGTCGGTGCGCTGGGTGTGGCGAACGAAACGAGGAAGGACCACGACCTCCGCGAAGAGCGCGGTCGTTGACGCAGAGAGAAGAGCGGACTAGCGCTACCAGGACGGACCGTTATCGTAGCTCATGACAAATACAACGTGAACGCGAACGAC